ATTTTAGTAATTTCTTCAAGTTGTGTCTTGGATTGAGCAATCCATAATGTATCATCCATATAAGCAAGAACTGAAATTTCTGTTTTTTTTGTAAAAAATTATTTTTAAATGTTTTATAGTTTTCTTTTTTTTTTAAAAAAATATATCAACATATCATAATATTAACATTAAGAAAAAAATTTCGATTGGTCAGCACGTAATTTGCAAAAATTTTTAAAAATTGGTGATGCTGGGGGGTTATGAACATTATTACGATTAATGGCCCGAATTAAACAAGATTCGGGCCAAATTTTGAAATTACACTGCTGCGCATTATCTCATGACTATACAGTAACACTTTAACCACTTTAATATTGCATGGTTTATTTGTTTGTTTAACTTTATCAAGTATTTAAATTAAATGCATTAATAATTCTTTAACCACAAATTGTAGTATTTTTATTTGTAAAACAATTCAAAATAAATTAACCTTTTTAAAGCATAAATATTAACTAAAAGGCGTGTCAAATTAGCTAAGATCAATTTTCTATAAAAATCACATCCTTTCACTCCTAAGGTATCTAATAAGTTTTGATTGATTATTAAGCAGGGTATAGATATGCTATTAGATTAAAAGTTCGCAGTGGATAAAATACCAAAATAGTTATATATATTAGATCTGAAATTTGCCTACCTTTTCATCTTACAATAAATAATAGCTGATATCTGACACATTTCTAACATTTAAGTTCAAAAATTAATTTTTCTCAATTTCGAGCAATGTCTTTCAAGAAGACGACGATTTTCATCAGAAAATTTTCTTCCACAAAAAATAGCCAATGATTTAAGATTTTTTAACCGTGATATTGCGCCCACAATATCCTAATGAAAACAAACAAAATTGATCACTTAATTATAAATTATTAAACAATTAATAAAAAAGAAAAAGAATATTCACCAAAGTATGATTGGTTTCTATGATCCTCCTAACATCCAAAGTAAAATTTTCAATTGCACTACAATACTCACAAATTTCTTCAAACTCTTCAAAATTAATGTAATCCATCAATAATGACAAATCTTCAATGCCAATAAATTCTTTAATGCCCCATCCTTTCACCCTTCTACACGAATAAATACGAAGTTGTTTAAGAGTTTTTGACGAATTTTTTCCAAAAGTTGAAATAATTTCATCATTTAGGTTTTCCAATCTCTTTAGAGAAAGTCCTTGAAGCACCTTTGTGTGCTCGGCCAATGCTAAAAGAGAATCTTTAATATTTAGACCTTCTAGGAAAAGCATTCGAAGTTTTCGAGTAGTAGTAGGATTGGAAATCGCATAAATTCCTTTATCAGTAAAATTTATACAATCTTTTAACTCTAAATGAGTTAAATATCTACATGACTTAGATATTGCAGTTAAACTTTCGTCTGTAATCTCTGTACATTGTACCAACCGAATCTTTTTGATTAATTTACAAGCCTTTACGACCTCACCAAATCCAACATCAGTTGTTTTACAATTTACAAGAATTAATTCTTCTATTGCTGTACAATTTGTCGAAATCGATTCCAAAGTTGTATCGTTTCCACTGTCATGATATAATGATATCGATTTTAAGCCTTTCCAATGTTTAATTAGGGTAATGGCCAGCGCAGGGTATTCATTTGCATTCTTAATTTCGCTACTGCACGAAAACTTTTCAATATTTGGACAACAATCTGCTATCACACAATCTATTTTTGCGTCACGAATTGCTAAGTCTATGACCCATTCTCGTACCATTTCATTATATGCAAGAAAAGCTTTCTTTTCTTTAGCATGTATGAGTGTTTGTTTGCATCTTTCAATTGCTTTTGATGTTGATGGTTTTGGTGCCCGGTATAAGTAAGGTGACGATGCAATGTTCCATTGAGAGTTTACGAGGGTAAAATTATAGAAATCTTTCTGAGTCTCGAGATAATTAAAAACTTGCTGTAATAAATAAACGTGTGTTAAAGGATGGTAGAAGTGCATTCTTAAACCCTAAAATGAAGTAAGTAGTGGAGCTTTTTATAATTTTTATTTACTTTGTATTTTTACTAAAAAAGATGAATAATATGATTGTTGTGGCTAATACAAGATATTCAAGATTTTCAGTGCGCAAATGACATAACACGTTCATCTAGACCGCAATTTAATATACTAAAATCATCAATGAACCGAAATCCAGATATCACATGTCTAATAACCCGGCTAGAAGAAATGTATGACAGCATGCCACCTGAAACTGCTAATGTTTACACTATACGAAAACTGATAAGAACTTGAACTTGCAAGCTATTCTGCTGCCCAAAAATGATGTTTTCATGATGCAAATAGTTATGGTGCTGAGCAGTGTTAAATATCTAATGTTACAATGTTCCCAAAAACATTCCATTTAGGAACAATTTGGGAACATAAAATTTTTGATTAAATTTTTTTTGGGAACATTAAAATTTTTTGGGGGACTTAAAAATTTAACCAGAGAACAATAGATATTTTTCACTGGTGCTGAGTGTGCCGGGCCTGTATAAGCGTGAAATAACGCTCCCGAATTAAGTTAATTTAGGCCAAAATTCGAAATTACATCCCCCGGGCATTTCGAATTTGTACGGTACGCAAGTTTTATTAGTATTAGAGGAGCTTTGAATATTCATTATAGGAAAGTACTACAGTAAAATCTCCATAAGTGCGCCCTCTGTAGTCTCTAAATGCACACTCAAATTCGGGTCCGATGTTCTCTATAAATGCACTTTTTCTTATTGTTTTCTAATTGCACGTTGTTAGAGCTTGGTTTCATGTGCATGCACTTATAGAGGTTTTATTGCACCTTTAATATACTCGGATGGGTGAAAATTCTCTAAACTAAATGACGTGCAGTTTTACCCTCGTTAATATCAACCTCATTAATATCAACTTAAGTCATAAGATGAATTTTTACAAAGTTTTATATATTATCCAATACACTATCAACATGAATTTAAACCAATTCAAATTGGTTGATATAAACGAGGGTATACTGTATTTTGTTTATTATTTTAATGGTTACTCATTATACGTACCAGTATGTTGCAATATCGATATATACGGTATACGTAATTATAAACTTTAATATTGGGGATAAAAAAGGTCGACTCTTCGAGGTATATAATGTAAATCAAAACTATATGTGGGTCATAAATTTATTAATGTGTTGTCTTTACAAAACAAAAAAATTTAAAATCGGGTTGGGTCGTAAGTTTCGGATTGCCCGGTTAAGCCTAATTTTGAGATTTGGATCGTTTTTCTTTCTCATTGGGTAATTATTTTTGAATGCAGACCGAAATGTTATTACGTCATATATAAATTGATCCGGGTTCAAAAATAATTACCCATATGTTCAGATTGGCTCCGGATTCAACCCGAAATTTGGGTCAATCCGGATCAAACCGAGTTTTTTTTTTCTACATATATATAGTTATGATTTACATAGCATACCACACACCCCAACTTTTGTCAGGTTAGGGTTGCGATATCCTATGATTTACAAACATAGTGAAGATCATTACATTGTCGTCAAAAGAAAACCCGATAATTTAAATATAGTCTATTTAAATTGTCGGGTTTTCTTTTGTCGATACTCAAAAATACAGAAATAGAACTCATGAAATACTACGTAAACGTACAATCAAAATTATAAGTTCTTTTTAGTAATCTTTTTAAAGTAATAGACAAAATTTTATGAAAAACAAAAAAAGGCTTTATAAAGAGATTACTAAAAGGAATTCATATTCATGAATTCTATTATATTTTTTTCTGTTAAGAGCAGTGTTGGCAACTTTATCGACCAAACAAAATTTGTTTGACCTTATCGGCCAAAGAATTTGGCCGAATTGGCCGTTTTTTGGCCGGTTAAATTGCCAACACTGTAGAGTGATGATATGCAAAAAATCGTATTACGTATACTTTTTATTAACCAATAAGATAACCATAATACGTACCAAATTAGATATATAATGCAAATTATACGTAATACTTTCTAATGCAAAGTACAGGCAGGGTAAATAACACAATTAGGGTAGCTGCGCGACGCGGTGGTGTCGCGCCAAAACCAGGAACGCACTACGGATTGGTTTTGAAAATTATT